CTTTCAACTTAACTCTGCCTGGGGCTACGGCACAAACGACAGCCGGTTTCCAGTCGTCCATTTGGAGTCACCATCACCACAGTTGGCGGAGCGTGCGGATAATTCGCAGGAAAAAGTAGCCTCACTTGTAACGACACACAAGGCTGCGGTCATCTTGCGCATCAAGCTGTTGATCGTTCCTCACATTCTACGCTGCCAGTGTAAAATCAGGCCGGCACCGACCATGGTAGCAACCACTGCTGTACGGACTCAGCAAACAGAAGCTGTGTGAAAGCTGTCGGCAAAACACACAGAACTCCAAAGCGGTGCTCCTTACTTCTTGGTCACCAAATGTTCAAGCAGCACGTCGTGTGAGTCGTTGCTATTCGCGTATGGCTGAGTTTCAGTCGTGTCTGCTGGAAGAGAATGCAGCACAAAATGCCACCTGCACGAAAGTGAAACATTATAAACATTGGGAAAGTCAAAAAAAGGACACCAATCTTGGTTGCATAAGATTTGCCACCTGTTAGCTCTTTAGCACTGCTGGGTTTTCTGCATTTGGTAAACTAGAACATAAGAACATATGTGACAGTATATAAACTTTATATATATATATATACTCACCTTTTCGCCTTTTCACCAGGAGCTGGAGCTGAGGCTGCAGCTCCAGCAAAGAAGAGTTTGAGGGCTTGACTGCCACCTTCCCAAATCACTCACAAAGAGCAGCACATGATGGACAGAATTTTGAGTAAATACATGTTGTACGCCTGTACAATACTTATCATCGAACTCCGCCCATGAAACATGTATCAAAAGTGATGTTTGTTCCTTCCACCTGCAAGAACCTTGGATGAGTTCCAGGTCGCCTGCGAATTCGGCGACTGCTGGATCAGTTGCAACTCTTTGCGCAACCGCCTTGCTGGAGTGCAACAAAGTGGGCAGTTTAACTGTAGGAAACGTTAAACGACTATGCCAAATCAATGGTTCGAATGATTTCATCACACTCTCGTTGCTCTTGCACTCTGTTGACAGAACCCCTGTCTAGAGCTGCTTGGAAACTGTCTGGGCTGTGACAAACTGCGCGTCATACCATTATATGCCATTGTGATCACTCTGCCCGTGCCGAGAACAACTCCAAGAACGTCTGCTGTGATCTGCTACGGTGGAACCAAGTCCCCGGCCGCATGGACGTCGCTGTTGCTGGCTTTGCCTATGCATAAATACAAGAGTGTTTTTGACATGCAAAACAATGAGTTGCCTAGAAGGCACACTTAGCCCTCCCTGCCTCCATGCTGCCAGGCGGAAGCCAGGAAATATATTCAGTCTCTGTGGATTGTTGTCCATGATCATGCGTTAGTCATCATATACGCTTCGTCAATGCGCCAAAGCATTCAAATGATTTCAGCACTTGATCTTACCCTTCCATTCCACTTCTGATACACTGAACCTAGACAGAGCATTCAGTAAGGCAGAGATGGCGCCACCTGTCGACTTGCTCCCTCAGTTTCCAGTTCTCAGGGTTCGTGTTGTTTTGATTCAGGTTGCATGAATCACTTGCTCTGTTCTTGCAGCAGCTAGGGCAAAAATGTATGTCAAATACATGTTAAATGTCATGTGAGCAGCAGTGGATATGGTTGGTAGCGAGCTGAAAAACGTTGGGCGTATTTGAGCTTAAATATGATATATATATATATAATTAGTATATTCGTATATAGGAATGTACTTCATAATGATGTTTGCATGAGCGCACATGAAGGTGTTCCCTCCTGTTAGCCTCTTGGCAACTGAGTGCGTGTGTGTGTGTGTGTAACCCTTGGAGTCACAGGGGTCCTTTTGGATTTGTAGTTTTGAAAGATGAGCAGGGGGATCACCCACGGGCTTGACTGGTGATCCAACGACGAGGGTCAAGCTCCGTGCTGATATCTGGCCTGATCAGCCAGACATACCTGCTGTGATTACCACTTACTTCCTCTTGGGCCCCTTTGTCGCTAGAACAAGTCGCTGGCCTTTGCATTGGCTTTCGAGCTCTGCAGACATGAGCGCACATCGTCATTCTGTCGCCGCGAGCCGCTGTTCGTGAACTTCAAGATTGTTGGAGCTTTGGAAGTCTTCACCTTACTTGGACTCTTAGGTTTTTACTTAGGCTTGCGTGTGGCAACCGCAATCAAGTCCGCACGCATTTCCAGTGAGAGCCCAGGGTGAGCCCGAGGAGTGCCCCCTGTGGACCCTTTGAAAGGGTTTTTTCCATGGCCCGCCTGCCCGGGAGCGTACGTGCCCACAGCGGGCGGAGTAGGCTTGCGCCAGAGTCACTTGCCAAGATTTGATGGATTATTGAAAACGAGTAGGCTATATGCCAGAACATGACCGCAGCGGTCCAAGCAGGCTTAAAGCCACAAAGTGGTCACAGCGACCCAAGCCTGTCTTAGGTTCATTGGAACCTGCCCTCACCTTAGGCCAGGCCGGTCTTCCTAGGTCTTTCAAATGAGGTTTGGTTTCATCGGTTCCTGGCCCCTCCATCTGGTTCCCCCCCTTTTCATCATTTCCCCCTCACACATATCTTTTTCCTCTGTTCTTTCATGTCTTCCTGCCTTCGTGGCTTGGCTTCTCATTCCTTCTTTCTCTTGCGCGCACATTGGTCCAGCAGCCCCTTCGTTTGTACGTCGTCTACTTCAAACCCACGCTTCAGGTTTGACAATGAGGCGGGTTTTCATTGTTTGCCCCTGTGCACTTGGTTTCTCTTCATCGCAACCACCTACACCTTTGTCCTGTATTGCCCCCTTTTCGTGTCTTCATCTTCTTGTCCTTGCTGCGCGCACACATGCACAATTGCCCTGGCCTTAGCTTTTCTCGCCTCCCTTTGTGGGAGGCGCGCGCAACCCTTGGAGTCACAGGGATCCTTTTTGGTTTGTAGTTTTGAAAGATGAGCAGGGAAACCACCCACGGACTTGACTGGTGATCCCAACGACGAGGGTCAAGCTCCGTGCTGATATCTGGCCTGATCAGCCAGATTACCACTTACTTCCTCTTGGGCCCCTTTGTCGCTAGAACAAGTCGCTGGCCTTTGCATTGGCTTTCGAGCTCTGCAGACATGAGCGCAAATCGTCATTCTGTCGCCGCGAGCCGCTGTTCGTGAACTTCAAGATTGTTGGAGCTTTGGAAGTTTTCACCTTACTTGGACTCTTTGGTTTTTACTTAGGCTGGCGTGTGGCAACCGCAATCAAGTCCGCACGCATTTCCATAAGTGCGTGTGTGTGTGTGCGCGCGCGGGTGTGTGTGTGTGTCCCCCCCTGTACCAAAGGGTCCAATGCCACCGTTTCCATTACCACCACTTAACAAGGCAGGGGGCCATCCCCCTCCCCAGTGGCGGATGGCCAACGAAGAGGCCACTGGGGGGGCTGCAAACGTACCTGCCGAACTGTTGTACAAGCTGTCACTCCACTCTTTCTTTGTTAGTTTCCATGGTGGTTCATGCTACTTCCCCTAAACCCTTTCCCTCGCCGCGCGCGCGTCGTCGTCGCACCGCTGCAGATGAGAAACCTCAATGTTAAAACACCTTCAAGTCTTTGGACCTTTCACCATGCCGTTCCATCGCCTTCCTTCTCAACGTGGGAACTGAGTGTAACTGAAAACCAATGTCAGAGTGTGTTTCGCTCAGCCGTCCCACTCGGGTGCTGAGTGTGATCCCCGTCACTGGGGCGCTGAATTCATGCCGGAAATCGTGTAACTGAGCTTTTCCACTTCTCACAGGAATTCACCACTTGATCAACCTTAACTGAATTTACTGCTTCCAAGGCCGCCGGGCCAAAAAACGGGATTCTCTCAGTCTGCCACGCCGCTAAGTATTCACCAGTCCATGTCACTCTGCTAAGTATTCACAGGCCGGACGAATTAATCGTGCACCCCCTCCCTGCCCCTGGGCCTCCTCTGCTATCCCACCCGCTGCTGAGCAACAGAAGGAAATCGCACTCAACACACTTGTGTGTTGGTGCCTTTCCTTCTGTTTCTCCTAGTCTATTGCTAGCTACCCGGGCGGTTTAAGACGAATGTCCCGCTCGCAAACTACTTTCGTTTAACTAAGTGGGCCTCGTAACTACACCTATCTTTCTTTCTTGCCCTCTTAGTCTGCTTTTGTTTTGTTTGCTTTGTCTGTCTTTCTTAGGCTTTTTAGGTGGCTAATAGTTTTTTTTCGCTGTGCCAACAATTGGCGCTTTCTGTACAAATGTTCCCCGAGGAGTCAGGACGCTACTGCATGGAGGCCCCTGGCTTCACTACTACTTTGCTAGGCGAGACCGCGCCGAATACGGCTATGTGTGTGTCACCCCCTGTACCAAAGGGTCCAATGCCACCGTTTCCATTACCACCACTTAACAAGGCAGGGGGCCATCCCCCTCCCCAGTGGCGGATGGCCAACGAAGAGGCCACTGGGGGGGGCTGCAAACGTACCTGCCGAACTGTTGTACAAGCTGTCACTCCACTCTTTCTTTGTTTGTTTCCATGGCGGTTCATGCTACTTCCCCTAAACCCTTTCCCTCGCCGCGCGCGCGTCGTCGTCGCACCGCTGCAGATGAGAAACCTCAATGTTAAAACACCTTCAAGTCTTTGGACCTTTCACCATGCCGTTCCATCGCCTTCCTTCTCAACGTGGGAACTGAGTGTAACTGAAAACCAATGTCAGAGTGTGTGTACTTGAACTATATAGGGTATCTTCTTCTGAGAAACCCCTACCTCTTGCACCATGACATCCTCTTTTGTTGCAAGAACATCGAAGAATTCACTTAACCTCCTCGCCCCAAACTGAACCAAGATTGAATGATAGTCGTCTTCTTGTTTGGGATCTGAAATCTGTAAAACACACTCAGCACTGCTTCTGACTCCGCACTGCGGCATTTTTGCTTGCAACTGTGATATCACCACTGCGCGTTAACATTTTCCTGCCTTCCTTTGACAAGCGCTGGAGATGGCTACTCAGCACAGATCATTGTTCCAATGCAACGCACTTACCGTTGGGCTTGCTCTAACTAGTTCCAAAGAAACAGAAAGAAGACAGGAAGGGCAGGCCCCGTGCAACAGCCAGGTCATGCTATGTCTATGTACAAAATGCACCCGTTTGGGTCATTTGTTTCGTCGTCCTCAGACCGGTCGCTCTTAGTCCTGTGACAGGCTTCGCACCGTGTGAAGCGACCGACTCGGAGCCCCGCTCGGCTGGACGAGCAATGAGAGGCTGAGACTAAACTAAACCAAATAGCGATGGCCTCCAAGCTAATATGAATCGCCTCCAACATAATAGGAATGTCCTCCAACCTACTAGCGGTGGCCTCCAAGCCAATATGAATCGCCTCCAACATAATAGGAATGTCCTCCAACCTAGTAGCCGTGGCCTCCAAGCTAATATGACTCGCCTCCAACATAATAGGAATTTCCTCCAAGCTACTAGCGGTGGCCTCGAAGCTAATATGAATTGCCTCCAACATACTAGGAATGGCCTCCAACCTACTAGCGGTAGCCTCCAAGCGAATAGGAATGGCCTCCAACCTCCAACACAATAGGAAAGGCCTCCAACCTACTAGCGTTGGCCTCCAAGCTAATAGGAATGGCCTCCAACAAAATAGGAATGGCCTCCAACCTACTAGCGATGGCCTCCAAGCTAATATGAATCGCCTCCAACATAATAGGAATGGCCTCCAACCTACTAGCGTTGGCCTCCAAGCTAATAGGCATGGCCTCCAACATGATAGGAATGGCCTCCAACTCCAACCTACTAGCGATGGCCTGGCCTCCAAGCTAATAGGATGGCCTCCAACGTAATAGGAATGGCCTCCAACCTACTAGCGATGGCCTCCAAGCTAATAGGAATGCCTCCAACATAATGATAGGAATGGACTCCAACCTACTAGCGATGGCCTCCAAGCTAATAACAGCTAATAGGAATGCCTCCAACAAAATAGGAATGGCCTCCAACTTACTAGCGATGGCCTCCAAGCTAATAGGAAAGCCTCCAACATAATAGGAATGGCCTCCAACCTTCTAGGGATGGCCCCCAAGCTAATAGGAATGCCTCCAACATTATAGGAATGGCCTCCAACCTACTAATAGTCACGTGTATCAGGCTTGGGCCCCCCTGAGCTGGGGGCCCGCACCCTAATTCAGACAGTGAAAGTAACTACTCACTACCAGGATCCTGTTAAGACCTTGTCATACTTCGGTTTGAAATAGGAAACCCTGGAAGGACCCTGAAGTTCTCATATGTTCTCATCAGTTTGTTGGAATACACCAAACACACATGCATTTTGAATATCTCTTTCTATTCTTCCTTCTTTCATTTCGATCATGCTCCGACTGGGCCCACATTTGAACCTGGAATTTCCAGGAAAACAGTACAAGTGTTCATTCAAGTCCAGAGATCCTCCTCTGTCCTCTGTATCCAACAAGTCTTTCGAAGGTTTCTGAACACCTTGGCGAGCCAACTGCATCAATTCCTGGTTGATCAAATCAGTCAGATCCACTGTCAGTGGTTGTCTTTGTGCACCGGTGTGGCCAAAACCCCACCGTCGAAGCACCTTGGCTTTCTCTGGGTACTGGATGGAAGCTTGTTAAATAGCCATCGCTCTGGACCACCAGGACCTCCTCCAGTGATGCAAAAACAAACAGTTTCACTAATTGAGACACTTCTGACTTCTGCCCTCCTCCGTGGTGTGGTCGTCTTCTGGCCCAAACAGCCGTCCTCAGCACCGAAAAAAAGGAAACATGATACTCTGAAACACCCAGCCAGTTGTTACCGGCACCATGCTCGAAGAAAAATCAAAAAAGCACAGCACGAGTTCAGGGAGAGGCCTCAATCATCCTCATTCGATACATGCAAGTAGGATGTCAAATGGAAAAGCAACGAGAGAAGCTCTATATCTGCCCAGATGCGTTTTGGGCCTGAGGCCAGTCTGACACGATCATCCCAACCTCTGTCACCTGGAAGAATAGGTCGTGGAGGCAGCAAAGGTGGCCTCTGTATCACAAATTGTTGCCAGGTTTGCCATGACAAAGAGTACACAATATCCACCACGAATCCACCATTTGCTTAAATAGCGAGCGAGCGTAAAAACTCCAAAGGGCGTGTGATTCTTGGTTCTCGAAACCTACAAAAGTTGGGGTTAGTTTTCTGTCTGTCTCCAAGTAGCCCTTACTTTTGATCCTCCAAAACCTGAACAGTGTTTGTTTCGTCCAAGATTTGCACAAAAGAACAGTGCCATCAAGGCACGGCCAAGAGGAGGCGGGCTGCATGGCAGCTTGCTCTAGCTCCTGTGCTTTTGGCGCAACGAGCAGTGTAGCAAAGCATGTTGTTCATTAGGCCATGCAAAGGCGTGGTTCGTCACTTTCATTGCACTGACTGCACCCCCACGGCAATTGTAGCATACGCACATATATTGACAACTCCTCCATAACATCTTTGGAGATGCTCTCGTGCGCGCGCTGAACTGCTTGCTCTGCAGCCTGTCAAACAAGCACCCAAATTTAGGTAGCTTTGATAACTTGATGACAATTCCACATATATATATAATTAGGAGTAATTACACCAAAGCTTAGCGGCATCAGCAATTGTACTGTACTTGCTCACCAACTCAAACTTGGGCTGTTTTGCTAAAGCTGCGGCATGCTCCAGCCTCCTCTTCTGCGGAGGCGGCCACCACCGGACTTGTTGACCTGCAAGCGAAGAGGATGCCATTAGCACTGGGTCAGCACTCAAGCTACACGTCAACGGCCGCATTGGGCTTCTCAGCATGATGCATCTGCCGTCGGCTAGAGCCTAGTCTCACAGGTTGGACCGGCTGTTGCCGGTGCTTGTCACGGTGGGGTGAAATTGGTCGCGGACGGCAATGGCACTGCGTCAGACTGTTTCTACATACATTTGGTGCTAGGCTTTGGGCTGACAGCCCAGCTGGCAAAGGTGGCATGGGCACGAGCACAGGCTTCGTAGAGATCCCTGAATGATATGGTTTTCTCACAACGACGCCTTTTTTCAAACGGCAACGTAAAGTGAACATTGATATATATATATATACATACATATTGCATATATATATATATATACAAAATGATCAGTGAACTTGCGACAATGCACAAAGCAAGATAATCAAATACACGGCTGTGGAAACCCAAATTGCACCATCCTGGGGCCCTTGCGCTGCAGTCAGGGAATCATGGCTTGATTCCGACCTTGAGAGTTTCAAGGGAGGGCAGAATGACATCATTGTACACGCTACGTTCGTACGTTCTAGTGCATGTGCACGACGTGCACGAGACGTATACTTCCAAGTGAAACATGACGAAACGGCCTCGGACTTGTCGCTGATCGACTGACCGCCTATACTGTACATTCACACAAAACAATCCGATTGCCCAAGTCTATCCAAGTGACCAATGACAAACAAACGGCATGATGAAGCTCACAACAACACTTGCAGCGTAGCTAATCACACACACAAAAGAAAAGAACAAATGAGATCAACACATGATGTCACACATGTGTGCTTGCAGGTCACTTTCAGACATGATTCCAGTCTAAGAATATTTGAGCCTTGACTTCAAGTATCGGTATATCATATCATTATGTATATTATATATGATATCCACAAAAACGACTCTAGCTACGACTACAACATAGTACGAGTATGACTCAGACTAGGAAACCATTTAATGCATGCAAGCTACACATCTACACACGACTGTACGGCCTTGGTTTAAGTGCCTTCATCCATCTCCTGTGTCACGTTGAGGCAACTCTTCTCGACAGCTCATCTAGCGGCGTCTTTGGATCAAGAACTACTGTAGCAACACCGCGTTGTTTGGCATTGAAAGGCTGAAAGGCATGAGTTCTGAACGGCTCCAGGTTAAGGGAAACGACGTGGTTCATAAACAAGGGAGGCAACATTCTGTGTTGCAGTTGTGGCTGTGCCATTTGATATCTCGTTGTCACACATGACTTGGCCTATTATGGAACCCTTGTCTATCGGACGCAGTATGAGTTGACACAAGGCAATGGCTTTAGGTCACAGGGCCATGTAGCCGGTAGTGACCAGGAAGAGTGGGGGAATTTTTGTAGCGCTAAAGTCGACATTAGGCCCGGCGGCATGATTGTGATTTGGCAACGTCAAGACTAAGTTTGGTCGTAGACGCGCAACTACTTTCTGCTAAGTTCTGGCCAATCCACCAGGTCGCCAGTGTTTGCAGGTAGTCCAAAATGGCACTGCTTGGAAACATGTCATCAACAAATAATGTGCATTTAGACAGTAACTTGATTAAACATGGCATCATGCGGGGATCCCAGCACGACTCTTCCAGTGCACCCGAGTTGCCGCTTCAACAAGAAAGAGGTCTTTCTACGATCTTCATGCTACTGGTTCCTTGATTTTGCTAGCTGGGTCCAGAGCTTCCCAAGGAAAGGCGTTCCGAGCAACCATTGTTCTCTGTGCTCTAAGCTTGAAACCATTTGTCCAAGCCTTGCGTCGCCAACTCAGCAGCCATCGCCCAATTCTGTCCTCGCGGCCGTGCCAGCAGGGGTTCCTGCACAATTCAGACGCCGGGAGGAAAGCTGCCAGACGCAAAGCACTTGAGGGGCACTTGAGAGGCATGGTGCAAAGCTACAATTACAAGTGGTCTTCGCAGCAAAATGCATCTCTGCAAAGCTGCCTCTGGAGGAGTCTGCCAGGGTACATCTCGCACACGAGGTTCAAAAGGCCTTCTGCTGCTCAGTCATCAATTACCCTTCAGGCTAGGATTCAGACAATTGCCATTACGACGTTTGCACCAATCAAGTCAAAAAATACTCAAACAAAAACACGAGTCGTCTCGCTCCAGCTAGTCATCCTCTCCAAATTGTTTGAAAAAACAATGTGTAAAGCTTTGAATATCTTAAAACTATGTATCATTTTGTATCCCTCAGATCGGAATGTTCACTTCGGCACTGAACACCCAAAAAGAGTCAAAAAGCGCTCAATATCTTCCTTCTTGCGCCGTACCTGTATCCACCAAGTATCGACTGCCAGCCCTGAAGAACAGCCTGCGACAAGGCACACTTCTAACTTGCAACTGTTGGGTGTCGCAGCCGCTCATCTTTTTCACCTTCGGACCATCCACCTCACTACCCTATCGCAGGAGTTCGAGAATAAGAGTCCTTTTCTTCAAAGAACCAAACGACTGCTTCTGCAAGGGTCCATCAACCCGGTGCGAAACGCACAGAATCCCTCTCGTTCTCACGGTACCTTCATGAGCATGCGCTCCAACAATTCAGCCTGCACAAAGGCACGAGGGAAGTTATTGATAAAGAATATGAATAGGAAACATTGCAACTAATTAGACAATAACCTCTTAACAATATGATATGCATGATGCAAACTGTCAGATTCCATCCGGAGTGTGGCCTGTTTTCTGCCCAGCTCCATGCCGCACAAATTTGGCCTAATGCTGGCTTGATGTCTTGGGATCGCAGGGACGGCCTCACATCGCGGCACAAAATGTCTTGCAAACCAAACCTGGACATGTCGGAAGTAAAGAGGGTGAACGACCGCAAATGAAATACACTATCCATCATCTATATCTATTGTTCAAAGTTGTAAGTACTTACAGACTCAGGAATCGATCCTCTGAGAAGACTGAAGCTGCAAACCTACTGAACGTCTTCGTATGATTACAATAGAAATAGAACTTATATACAAACTGCACGAACTTGCTGGTATTTGTCAAAGAGGTCAGTGCCCAAACTCTTCGATGACTCCGCCTCCACGGAAACACTCCGTGTTGCAACAGTCTTTGCGGAGACCTCCAATCCAAGACTTCCCGCCATCACAAGGCCCCAAACAAAATTGAAAAAAACATAATAAGGTTGGGATGGCTCTTCAGCATGTGATACGTTGTCAAAACCGTTTCATCATGGTCTATCCAGTTCTACTCTCCATCTCAAGTTCCCTATCGCTGTCTTCAAAAAGTTCAACCTCAGAGGTTAGGCCTGGCTGGGGGCGCCCACCACTGTCTGGGGACCAACTGTGCTGTCAAGGACCCCTTGAGATGCCTGGAGAAGTCGGTGGAAATGGACCAGGAAGCAAACAACGAAAGAGGAGGAAAATGGGTGGTTGAGTCCCTTTATGTGTATGTATATATTATATCGTTTTGATGAGGTCCCGTTAGGGTAAGGGATCAAAATAAAAATAAAAACAGAATCAAAAAAAAAATATTCAACGGGGATCAATTTTAAAAAAAAAGGTAATCAAAAAAATAATATTCTAGCCCACTGAGGATGGTTGGGGTAGTAGTAGTAGTAGTAGTAGTAGTAGTAGTAGTAGCAGTAGCAGTAGCAGTAGCAGCAGCACCAGCGTAGCAGTAGCAGTAGCAGTAGCAGTAGCAGTCAGCAGTCAGCAGGCAGCAGCAGCAGCAGCAGCACCAGCACCAGCAGCAGCACCAGCACCAGCACCAGCACCAGCAGCAGCACCAGCACCAGCACCAGCACCAGCAGCAACACCAGCACCAGCACCAGCACCAGCACCAGCACCAGCACCAGCACCAGCACCAGCACCAGCAGCAGCAGCAGCAGCAGCGCAGCAGCAGCAGCAGCAGCAGGAGGAGGAAGTAGTAGTAGTAGTAGTGGTAGCAGTAGCAGTAGTCACGGCGTTCACACGAAGTTAGAGCGCTCGGAGACAGGAGGACTAGGATACCAGGGGACCAGCGGACCACAGGACCAGAGGACCAGGAGACCGGAGGACTAGGGGACCAGGTGGACTAAAGGACCAAGGGACCAGGGGACCAAAGGACCAGTGGACCAGACTACCAAGGGACCACATTACCAGAGGACCCGCAGACCACAAGGCCAGGAGAGCAGCAGAAGAGGCCTATCAAGGAATATTTATTTTTTGATTCGCTTTTTTTTTTGATCCTGTTTTTATTTTTTTGATGCTCTTTTTATTTTTGTTTGATACCTATGCCCCATTAAGAGGACCTCATTACAGGGACCAAGGACTGTTGTTTTCTGCTTGTTTTGTTTTCCTAAGCTTGGACGCAGGTGCATTTCTGGACACGTCTCTTTCCTCAAGCATGGTAACACGGCTTTTTGCAACCGTGCGTTTGTGATCGTGGGTTAGCAACTCGCCTGCGCTTTGAGCACGTTTTAAAAACATGGAATTGTGCGACGGACGACGAAAAGTGTTCAAGCGGTCATTTTTCTGCTTCGCCTGGCTGAGGTGTCATACTCTGGAATATTCTGGAATTATGTTCATGAACGTTAACATAACCCATAGCATCAACATCCCATGCAAGTGCACATGAACGTTGAACTTGCCCCACCCCACCCCACCCCACCCCCCCCCCCACCCCACCGCACCCCAGTTAACATGAACGTCAACATAACCTATGGCCCATAGCATCAACATCCCATGCAAGTGTTCATGAACGTTAACTTGCCCCACCCCACCCCACCCCAGTTAACATGAACGTTAGCATAACCCATAGAATCAACATCCCACACAAGCGCACATGAACGTTAACGTGCCCCACCCTACCCCACCCCAGTTAACATGAACGTTAACATAACCCGTAGCATCAACATCCCACGCAAGTGCACATGAACGTTAACATGCCCCACCCCACCCCACCCCAGTTAACATGAACGTTAGCATAACCCATAGCATCAACATCCCACACAAGTGCACATGAACGTTAACCGTTAACGTGCTCCACCCCACCCCACCCCAACTACTTAGACATGTCGTATACATGTACAAGAAACAACAAAAAAGTGTACGCCTCCACGGTTGTGAAAATCCGTGTCACCTCAAACATGGGCTTTGGGGGGTCAGTGGCACAGTGCTCCCACCCAACTTATTCATAGTCCGGGACGCAGAGATAGAAGAAATGTTTTTTAATATTTCAACTAGAAGGTGCAATTTTGGTGGTTTCCAAGCAAGGCTTTAAATAGAAGAAAATGCTTGTGCAAGAGGTGCTTTGTTGATGCTGTTTTGGCACTCTGAACTCCAATATCTTCTATTTGAACGGTCTTGCCAGAGAAGCAGGATTTCATGGTATTTACAGTGAAGTCTTGAAGTTTTGGATGAGCTTGTCCAAAATATTTTTTGCCGGGACAGACGGTGCAAGTTAAACCCAAACATCAGAGGACCTAGTGACCTAGTGCACAACCCAAGATGTCCAGAATCCCGGTACAACACGGTAAAACCTCGAGTCTTTTTTAGCTTTTTCTGAAGGTCAGATCCACAAGACAGCAGAACAACAAGTGAAGGTCAAATAGAAGATATTGCCAAAGCAACCAAGCACATCAAATAGAAGACATGTATCTGTATATGTTATTATTTTGGTGTTACAAAATAATCTGGTAATATCTTCTAATTGAAACTGAGTGCAAAGCAGCCTTTTCCTACCCCATGAGTCCATCTTCAGAGCTTTGCTCTCACCAGGGTTTCTCCCTCAAAGTTAAGAAGATCAGACATTCCAATAATTATCCCTAAGATCAGTCCCATTGGGGCCTCGTGAAAGGGACTTTCCCAAATAGGTCATGTTTCTGGATATTCTTGCTGTGTTGTTGTGAATATGTATCTATCTATATATCTATCTATTAGATCTATTCATCAATGCTTGCATATTTCCCAGAGGTGCCATCTGCAGTGAAGAAACAACGGACCGGCAAGGAAGGAAACAATCTGCGTGGACCAAAAATGAAATCAAATAGAAGATCCAAAACAAACTAGAAGATGTACCTCACCGGACAGATTTCAAATAGAAGATATTAGATATTAGGCTATCTAGTGGTTTTTGCAAAAGTAGCTATATAACATGATATAACACCTCTTTTATGCTCCGGCGAAGCCCTTTTCTTCTATTTGAAATTGTTTTTCGCGTGCACCAGAAGCAGTTTCAAATAGAATATTGAAATTCTGAATATTCGGGAATTTCTTCTATCTCTGCGTCCCGGATTATAACTGGGCTAATCCGAGGTTGCGGCCACTGGAGTAATCTTGAAATGCTGCAAGATTTCCTGGCCACTTGGCAAAACCACAGATCAAAAGAAGAAACAGTATTGTTGAAAAGAAATAAAATGTTTGAAAGGTTTACACTGTACTGCAAATGTCTGTTCACTCTCTCCTGGTACACAGAGCCCTTTGTCACCTGGTGCAATGTACCACTTATGCACAGCAAACACCCCAGTTCCAGCTTGCGGACTCCAGCAAGCAATTAATGCACAAAAAGGCTTAAAGAAACCAAATGGCCATCTGGCCTCTTCCTTTAGCCGCTCCAGCTCTTCTTGCTGTGAGCGCCTCGCATCTTCCGCGCGAGCGACCTGTGCACACAACATCCCATCTCTCCCCATCCCTAGTCACGTTTAGAAAAAGACTTTAAGGAACCTACTGGCGCCGGGTATAAAACCGGAAACATCCTGCTTGCAAAATGTCTTCAACTGCTCTGTGGGCCATCTCACCTGCTCTTTAAGAATTTCCATCTCGAAGGACTGCTGTCGGCGCGCTGCTTTGATCTGCTCCACCAATGCCTCACAAGTTTGCACTGGTGTGGCATGTCGAAACAAAAAGCCTGGCTCTGCAATGTTAGGTTTGTCTGCTTTGTGCTGGCGATGAGGGGACATGCTCTGTGGTGCCGGTATGAAAGCGCCGCCGCCGCACAAAACAGCAAAAATATGCAAAAATGATATTTTGGCTTTGCCCGTGGACCCTACCAGTGTATCAAATACAGTATACACTGTTCTATTCTGTAGTACCAAAATGATGTAGCTTGGTGTGTGTGTGTGTCCACCTCTGTAACTAAGAGTTTCAACTTGTCATAGCAGGGGGACGGATCACCACCGATACTGCCCGTCCAACGAAGAGGGTATTGGTTGGTGCTGAAGCAGTGGAGGACGCTCCACTGTGTAGCTGCATCA